CCCCAAAACCCCAAAACCCCAAAACCCCAAAACCCCAAAACCCCAAAACCCCATTTCCTTAACAAAATATTGAATTATAATGGAGAGGGCCAAACCTAATCGTAATGGCAAGAATGAAATCAGAGTGACAATTCCTGGTATAAAAATGAGGACTAAAAAGCGTCCAAGCACCTGAAATCCTGTCAAGACTCGGAAGAAAACTGAAAGAACTGCCACTATGGGCTCCACACAGAAAATCTTCTTCAAGATAGGGGCTAAGAGTTCAGTAATCAAGGGCCAAAGAAATTTTGGGATCAGGAATACCACCCCTGTACTTAAGAAGAACCATGACCGCAAAAGTAGGTACTAGCAAAACAAATTTTGATCATTGAGCAAGCAGAGATCGATGGCATGATTTTATATAGACTTTAGCTCAATGAAACCCAAAGCCACAACCAGATTGTTGTAAATTTTAAGAAGAGTCCAGGTAATAGCATAACTAGGAGGAAGATGTTTGTCAGACAGAAGAATTTACATCCTGATTTCAACTCTATGATCATCACTTCCTTCAAAAGGTAGCATTTTAGCATGAAAATCTAGAAGTAATTTGAGGAAGAACACCACCCCTATCCAGTTGAATAATGATAGAATTAGAGATATAGAAGATTTGAATATTATCTCTCCGTAAGAGCGTACATTACACATAGAGTGGACAATCAAACTATCCGAAGGGAGGCTCCACGGTATCTTCATTCTAACCTGTAGGGCTAACAACAACATGTTTCATTCATCATGTTCGAGATTATTTTAATTTCTAGCTATCACAAAGAATTGGATTTAAATATTCAAAATCGGATGATGCTTCAAAATTTCGGAATTTCAAGAATATGTCAAGATTCCGTATCCTTAAATAAGGTGAAAAAGAGCTCAAGCATATTGTAAGCAATTTAAAATGATCAACCTAGGAAAAGTAGCATTTCAAAGGGAAAATCCGTACTGAAAGAAGACTCTACAAGCAAACTCTTGAGCTCCGCCCAAGCTCAAGTTGAGAAGAACTTTAAGAAACTCCAGAAGGGGTCTCCAACTAAAAACGAACAGAAGTAGAGATTTGGCTTACTAATGTAGCAAAATGGCTAAGACAGCATCAAATTTCCGTTCTTCACGTTCTAAGCCTACTCAGTGCAAGAAGAATTCAAGATTATATCACATTAAGACAAATAATTATATGGAAAATACCAACATTTTTAAGAAAGCTCTTAACCAAGGGAATAAAATCTGCAAAAGTAGGTGTTTGTGTAGCATGAAGCTATACATCCTTCATAAATTTCTCCCCATATTTGGGTCATCAGCCAACAATATGGCTATGTCAAAGCTGAATGGTCTCAAAGTGCTTCTTCAAGCTCCTCAATTCATTTAGTTGATAAATTTTATAGACCATACTAGGTTAAATCAGCATTATCCAAGCCGCTTAAGACATCAGAATTTCGTTGATGAAGAGGTACTTTTCTGCATAATTTTAGGACTTTTTGAAAAATACCAGGAATCAAGAGAAACCTTTGATAATCCAGAATTTTATTGCACTAGAGTATGTTTATCTATGCTCAAGGAAAATTAGAGCTTACGATTTCATTATAATCCAATACTTTAAGAGATTCTTAACCAAAATTTTCTATGATTGATATAATCTAAATGCATATTTCGAATAAAACACTTTGCCTAACTTAAAATTTTGAAATTATGTACTAGCCTTTTTAGGCCGTCAGTAAAGCCTCAGGTTGAGCTTCGTACAACACAGCACTCCAGGCTCTCTAAGCCGGTCTCCAAAGCGCATCTGTTAACAAGTAAATGCTCCCTAACTCTTAGAAAAATTAGTAGAAGATTGTAAGAGAGCTCAAATTATTAAAACAAGAACAAATTTAGAAAATCCAAAGACTCGAAATTATGCTGAACCAAGAGCTTTTCCATGGATTCCTTCGATTAAGCTACTTATGAGTTTCCTCCTATGATTAGATCACATATACATCTTCTGAGGGATTATTTATAGGTTACCAAGAGTTCATGAGAGATCTGAATGAGCCTGAACCTGACCAAACTCTCTTCTTCAAGGTACTTGAACTATTCATTTTCTTCTTTAGGAGATCTACAAGCCAGCTTAAGGATATTAAAAAGTTGAAACTGGATAGAAGTTTCTAACATTTTTTGGTATTTTAGAGGATTTCAATTAGATTTCACAAAATTGGGGTTTTGGGGTTTTGGGGTTTTGGGGTTTTGGGGTTTTGGGG